ACACGCAGCATAGCTCAATGGATCACTGAGGCACACAAACCATCGCACCACGGTAAGGTCCAGCCGCATTTATTCATTCATTCATTATACACGTCAGCCAGAGGTGGGAAACACCTCAGCGCATTTTTGACGCTGATGGCCGATATCGCCAGATTTCGCAAGTTTGATCTACGCCAACGATATTGCCGAAGGGAAAGCGCAGATTGCCGCACTCACGAAGAAGTTTAGCGAGTTCACAACTTCTAGGATAGCTGCCGATGTCGACCTTCAAATTGTCAACGTCCATCTCGATCAACATCACCGCGCCGAATGTCTTCCTACAGCAGGTACCATCAGCGATTTGGCTCGCAGGCCAAGTCGTGCCCACCGTGTTCCTTCAAACGCGCAGGGAAACGGGCCAACCAGCGCGTAGGGGCGGCGGACAAAGCTGGTCAATACAGTCGCCTATCCTTCGTCACCGATCGACAAACGGGAGTTCGCTATCTCGTCGACACTGGCACAGAAGTCAGCGTCCTTCCACGTGATTCTAACGACGCAACCGGAAAGGTGACTGGTTCTCTAGGCGAAGCCAACGACACTAGCATCCGCGTCTATGGTCAGCGCTCGCGCACGCTTAACCTCGATCTGCGACGCACTTTTCGATGGGTATTTCTTGTCGCTGACATCAAAAATCTCATTATCGGGATGATTTTCTTCAGTACTTCGACTTGCTCATCGATGCTAAACGACATCGTCTCATCGATCAGACAACGAAACTTTCCGTCGCTGGAATATCCAGCGATGTACCATCGCTCAGTCCGGTGTACGCCACTGCCAACTCGCCGGCCGGCAGTACGTTACTTGGGAGTTTCCCTGAAGTCTTCCGGCCTTCATCGTCACTGTCACCTGCAGCCGCAGCTACGCCGCATCACATAGTTACCAAGGATCCGCCCGACTCCGCCAAAGACTTATTCCGGACAAGCTCAAAACCGCCCGTGCAGAATTTGAGCACATGCGCGAACTTGGGATCGTCCGATCATCCAGCAGCCCTTGGTCTTCGCCCCTTCACATGGTCCCGAAAAAGTCAAGAGACTGGCGACCATGTCGCGATTACCTCGCCCTTAACAAGGTGACAATTCCGGATCGTTATCCTACTCCTCATATACGGGGTATTACAGCCGGTCTTCATGGCGCGCGCGTGTTCTCAAACATCGATCTGGTGCGAGCTTATCATCAAATCCGGGTCGCCGACGAGGGCATATCGAAAACCGCCGTTATTACACCATTTTAACTATTCCAGTTTCTACGAATGCCATATGGGCTGCGCAACGCCGCGCAGACATTTCAACGCCTCATCGACTCCGTCGTACGTGGACTCGACTTTGTCCACCCGTACATGGACCACTTCCTGGTGGCGAGTACTCCGGAAGAGGAACATTGAACACATCTACGACTCTTGTTCGAACGGCTGAAGGCGCACAACGTTACCCTCAACCCCGACAAGTGCATTTTCATGCAGCCGCGCATTGACTTCCTCGGACACCAACTTGATTCTGAGGGTATCCGCCCTTTGCAGGACAGAGTCCGGGCAATTCGCGACATTCCTCCTCCAACGACTCTAGCCGCCATTCGACGATTCAACGGCACGGTCAACTACTATCGCTGATTTCTGCCACGCTGCATCGGGCATATGCGACCGCTCACGGATCTTCTGCGTGGACACAACAACGGTAAAGTTGATCTTACGCCTAAGTACGAAAAGCATTTGAAGTTAGCAAAGAAGCACTCGCTTCCGCCGTCATGCTTCATAACTTCGACTCGAACGCTCCAATCAGTGTAGCCGTCGACGCCTCGGAAAACGCAATCAGGGCCGTTCTACATCAGTCTTTCCAAGGTAATTGGCAACCACTAGCATTTTTCTCCTGACCTCTTCAGACAGCCGCGAGTTACTAGCCGTATACTTCGCTGTTCGCCATTTTCGTCACGTTCTCGAAGGCAATCATTTTACGATCGTTACAGATCACAAACCACTCGTCTACGCCTTCCGGAACCCTTCGCCACGACGCTCCGTGTGAAATTCGTCATCTAGATTTCGTGTCTCAGTTTTCGACGGACATCCAACACGTGTCCGGAAGGAAAACGTCGTGGCGGACATGCTTTCCAGAGTAAACTCTCTGGCTCCAACCGAGCAGTCGCTCGATGTGTCAGCTATGGCCGCTGCTCTGCAAACCGAAAAAGACTTAATGGCATCCTGCGAAGTGTCCACGTTAAAGTTGCTGCCTAGACCGCTTCCTTCATCTACAGGTACAATAATCTGCGACGTCTCTAACGGACATCCACGTCCACTTGTACCAACTGCCTTTCGCCGAAAAGTCTTCGATACGCTGCACAACATCGCGCATCCTGGCATCCGCGCTTCAGTCAAGATGATTGCCGACAGATACATCTGACTCAACATACAGCGCGACGTCAGATTTTGGGAACGCAACTGTCTGACTTGCCATCGAGCAAACATTCATCGACATGTCGTCGCTCCAATAGGACGCTTCCCATCATCAACTCGATTCGCTCACGTCCACTTCGACATCGTTGGACCAGTTCCGCCGTCCAAAGGCATGGTCTACATTCTGAACATGGTGGATCGCGCCACTCGTTGGCCTGAAGCTGTTCCAATTCCCGAGGTATCCGCTGAGACCATAACGCGCGCATTCGTCGAGCGCTGGGTCGCTTCACATGGCTGTCCAGCCACTGTGACTACCGACCATGGTCCACAATTCGAATCGTCGACTTTCAACGACCTACTCAAAGTCCTCGGATGTAAACGCATCCGGACAACTGCCTACCATCCTCAAGCAAACGGAATGGTGGAACGTTTCCACCGACAGCTTAAAGCCTAGTTAAGTGCCGCCAATGCATTTAGCTGGACAGAAGTTCTGTCAATGGTACTACTCGGAATTCGATCACCACTGAAATCCGATGTGGAAACGTCCAGCGATGAACTGGTCTATGGACAACCACTCCGAGTACCAGGCGACTTCTCTGAAAGCCCGAAAACTCCGCTACGACGCGCACTACGCTCGGTAGCTAGCCACGAGCATGTGCCGCAATAAATCGACCGCAGTACGGGAACAGCATCGCAAGTCTTACGTTCCCAAAGATCTTCACCACTGCCCGTTTGTCTTCATTCGCATTGATGGTCTACGCAGACCACTCGAACGACCTTACGAAGATCCATTCAAGGTCCCACAACGTAAGGATCGATTCTTCGTCTTGCCTTCGGGCAACGGCAAGCGCGAAACCGTCACAATCGACCGCCTCAAAGTTGCTTACCTCGAAACAGAGTCGAACGACGACTCCAGTCCTTCGTCCTCAGAGGAATCGACTCAAACAATAGTTGAATAAACGCCTGCAGACAGCAACACCACAAGCAGAAACCCGCCTCCAGAGCACTCCAAATCCGCCACGCCTAAACAGTTACTAGGTCTGGTCGTCGGGTTCACTGGCCAACACGTTTCTTAGAACGATAGCCTAGCACTTTTGCTTCTAACAGCGTTTTCAGGTTTTCATTCGCGTCAGTACCTTCCGAAAACCGCAAAAACGCAATGTTTTGATAACCCAAAAACAGCGCAAAATGTTTTGAAAACCAAAAGTAAAAACGGAGAAATGGTTATGAAAACCGATAAAAAGAATTGTTTCCTTGACTTATCGCTGCTTATTCGGTAAGTGCTTTTCCCGTCCTTTGCTGTCGCCTCTTCTGCATGCCAGACCTCCACCGTTTCTTTCTGTATTTTCATGTTGCGAACCGGAGAACACTTACTGGTGGTTAAGCACAAGTGATCGTATGCTACGAACGTTCTCCCCTTTTCTTTTATCGGCACCTTAAGGGAGGACATGGGTGGGAGCGCGCTAGGATCCGATCACCTGGTTCTCCACCAGCACCTGAATCAGGTTTCACCGCCTGGTCTCGCAGAAGGCTGGCCCGGGACGGACAGTCCTCACGTAGTTCGAAGGGTCACTCAAGGTTCCCTTCTAGAAAGGGGGCTATGTAGTGACTTGGAGATTGTCCTGTTTGTCTGTGTAAAATATTATTAAAATATAATATCATTCCGTACCTAGACAACTTAGGAAGCTTGCCTGTTCGCATGATGACTACGTGTGTTTGAGTCATCCAGACGGATCGCATTCGCGCGCTTCCGGCTTATCCGCCCCGAAGAGCGTTTGCTGCGTCCCGGCTCGCGATTATACTTTTCCCTTAGCTAGAGCGATTTTATGGTGCTTTCAGCTAGCGGGATTGTGCGTTTCGACGAGAAACGTCTATCTCGCCCATATAGCCGTCTTTTTCCGGCTTTTCCTTGAGGCAGGACGAACCTGACATATAACGACCGAATAATTCCGCTATACATCAGCAGTACGCCGGTACGCAGTACCGACGCTTTGCTGCCACGCAACCACCACCGGTCGCACGCGGGCTAAAGATACTGCGAGGGTCTCCCTGCCCCTACGCAGGCTCGAACCCACGGCGCCAGAGTACAAGCTCGTTACTTTTAAGCTACGAGCCGGTGAGTACAAGAGGAAATATAGAGCGATCCGTTTGAGAAAACTGAGGAATAGAAACAGGTGGTGCGCTGCAAATACCTTCTCCCAGTCATTTGACAGTCCGAATCATGTTCAATCGGGACATGTTTCGGACTCATAGCGGACTGTCGTGTCGGCAGGTTCAGTAATATTGCGCACTAGGTAGGCGGTTTTCCGTGGCCAGTGTCAGCAGTGGTCATTGAATTAAATGACTTAAACAAATCAATTGACTTAATCAGCAAATTAGTAAAGCAGGAATGCTTTTACAAGAACAGTGTTGAAACAGAATGAGCAAAGCAATTAGTTTGAGGGCAGTTAATGCCATCAATTGCGTTCATTATTAGTTTGTCCCAAGTAAACAATAAAGCTTCGAACATGAAAAGTGTCATAACTTGTTCTGTAACAAGCGCACAATCGACTAAAGGACATATTAAAAGAAAACCCACCGCGCATCAACCTGCAGGTGAATGAGGATTGTAATATGCGTCCGGTCGAGGGTTCCGAGGGCTGTGTGGGGCGTACGTGGGTCGTATTAGATCAAGGGGGCTGAAAGGCAAAGGGGATACTTTGTATGTGGCTGGAATATCACCTAGTAAGTGTCGAAGCTGGATGGATGTTGTGCTTGTGTCGCATCTCGTGGCTAGCTAGGCGGTACTGTTACAGCTGCCGATAGAGGAGCAAGCGCAAGGCGACTAGATGGATGGCGTGAAAGCGTACGACAGTTGGCTAATTGAGTTCATCGAGACGAAATGGAGGAGGAAGAGGAAACGACGATCACAATATAGTCTACGCCCGACGAGAATTTACTTGCTAGCTTGCTATGAAGACATTGGCGCGCTACATTAACCCACCTCATGAGGCGGTTGTCAGCGCATACAGAATGCCTGACCCGTGTCCCCTTGCTGACGCACAGGCTGAAGAACGGTGATAGGTTCAGACGATTCCGCGTTAGGGAATGCTAGTGATCACAGCAACATCTGCAGTCTTGCTTCAGGGAATGGGGTTATGAACTGGCAGGAACGAAAAATATGTAATGTGTCCGACCGAAGGTTCCGAGGGCTACTGAATGTGTGAAAGCGCACGACCGTTGCCTAATTGAGTTCATTGAGACGAAATAGGAAGTTCAAGTTCAGATGGGACTGGAACGATAGGAGAATCCCGTGAGTGTTCCATTTTGAGTGGATCGTTGAGCCAGGAATTGATGAAGTGCTCAGTTATTGATGGATCTAAAACGGAACACCCGTATCGCACCCTGGCATAACAGTTAATGTCCACGTTTCCTGCCCTAGCAGTCCCTGCTGTGGCAGTCAGGTGAAGTATGCAAAGAATAGGAAGAGAACTCGAAGGTACAGAATAAGGAAGTGCATTTTAAATAAGAAAATACCAATGCGTGAGGAAAAGTAGAGAAAAGAAAACCGAAGTATGAAGATGCGAGTTACTCAGGAAAATGGAAAGGTTTCGTGTTACCGCCCAAGAGCGTCAAGCTGCCGCGCAAATCTCTTAACCGTAGATTCCCTGATAACACTTTCCGGAAGCATGTTCCAGTGCTCGATAACTCTGCGTGACAACCGGATTTCCGCCCTAATCCGATCGGACCGCGGTTTGTCCAGCTTCAACGAATGACCGCGTAGAACAGACAATCTAGCGGGACTGAATAACTCAGATAAATCTGGACCAACCTTCCCAGTTAAGATACGGTAGGCTAGGATTAGGTCTCCTCTAAGCCTTCGGTAGTGCATTGGATGCATTCCCAAAGTAGACGCTCGGGGTACGTCTGTCCCCGTAATCCCTCGACTAACCTAGTACCCACGCGTAAAACCTATAACTCCATTTTGTCCTTAACGAGGCATGGCGGACAAGCCTGGACGCAGTATTCCAGATGAGGCCGAACGAAAGCCGAGAACAGTCTCGTAATGATGCCGCCCGTCAAGACTCCGAAAGAACGTCGTATTAACCACAACATCCGGAAACCTCTGCTTGCGGCCTTCTTCCAGTTGTCGCCGGAGTGTAGAGCCGAAGAGTGTACGACGCCTAGGTCAACCTGGCTAGATAAACGGGGGAGTTTGACCCCACCGACCAAATACTTCGCTGGAGGAAAACCTCCTCCAATTCGAAGAACGGAACACTGCCTGATTTATAGGCAGTAACCATAAAGTGCACCAATCCCAAAGCCTATCTAATGCTCGCTGAATAACTTCGGAACCCCCAGGAATATCGACAATGTTCCACAGCTTCAGGTCGTCAGCAAATAGCAGCGATGGTACCTCAAGCTCCGCGGGTAGGTCATTCACACAGATAGAGAACAGCAGCGGTCCAAGGAGCCAGCCCTGAGGCACGCCACTGAGGACAGACTGCCTAAACGATAGAACTCGGCCTACCCGTACACACCGTTCTCTACCCTTCAAGACGGCAGTCACCCAATGAAGGATGCGGCCAGATAATCCGTAGGTCAGCTTTTACGCGAGCCTCAAATGGGGTACTTTGTCAAATGCCTTCGAAAAGCACGTCCAGTGCGTGGCCGTTATCCAGTGCATCCACCCAACTTTCGCGAGCCACCAGTAGATTCGTCAGACACGAAAATCCCTCACGGAATCCGTGTTGTACATTGCTAAGTAGATTAAATCTAGTCAGACGGCTCCCCAATGAATCTCACACCAGTTTCTCGAGCAGTTTGACTACTACACTCGTTTGACTAACTGACTTGTAATTTGCAGGCAGACTCCTGTCCCCATTTTTGAAGATGAGACAGATGACAGTCTCCTTCCATACGGAAGGTAATGCACAGCTGTCAAGCGATTTCCGAAACACCATAGCGAGCGATCCATTAGTTTCGCAGCCAATTCATGCAACAGTTTCGGGTGAATTACATCAGACCCAGAGGCCTTAAAAAGGTTTAGCCCTTGCAACAGCCTACGAACTTTCGCCTCCGCTACAATAAATTCAGATAGTCCTGAACCCTCTGGGATCCTGCAAACCAGCTCAATGCCTGTCAAAGAGGTTTCCCTTACAAACGCTGCTGCATATTGTCTACTAAGTACGCAGGCCTTGTCATAGTCCGTATGCGCATGAGTACCGTCATCACGCATCAATACTGAAATTGACATGTTCGAACCGCAACGCCTTTTGACATAAGCGAAGAATCTTTTGGATTCTCTGCAGCTTCGTCCGCTAACCCTTCCTAGAAATTGAGCCCAAAATCCCTTAGCTGTTGCTTACACCCATTTCTAGCCTTACGGTACCTGTCGAAAGTTTCGGTGGACGGAGCATCTCGGTAAGTCTGCTAACATCTAGACCTCTTTGTGAGCAGATGCCTGCTAGTGCAATCTATCCAAGGCGGGTGTGCTTGTGCCTTTTTTCTCCTTGTGACTGGGATGAAGGGAGAAGAGACCTCTGTAAGGTAAGACTTAAATTTATCCCAGGCAACCTGGACAGTATCGTCGTCTGAGATCGCACAATGGAAACCCGAAGCCTTGGCTCTTATTGATTGATAGTCTGCGTGCCATATGTTCGGGCGAGACTCGACAGTACTCTGGTAGTGTCTAGACAGAGTACAACTGGAGAGTCAACAAACATGATCACCAGAACCCAGTGGAAGTCCGTAAGTAATGTCACCAACAAAATCGAGTGACTTAGCAAATACAAGGTCTAAGATAGACGGTACTTGGGCGTCCATGTACCTAGTGGAGATGTCAAAGAACTGATGCAAAGATAACTGGAGTGTAAGCTCAAGCAGATCAGCGCCGAATGTGCCTGACGCTGAGTCGCAAGAAGGATCTGCCCAACAAACCTCTGGGAGGATGAAGTCGCCCATCACCAAACACTTGTTTGCGGACTGGGAGGGAATGAAGTCAAGTACCTCTTTGGATACGCTCCCAGGGCTTCTATACACAATTACAACTGTAATCTGAGCCGAGGATGTGCTAATAACAGCCGACAGAGCTTTAACAGTTGTCTGCTGACTGAAATAAGCAAGTTTTCAAGACGTCAAGTTTACAGCTCACATAAAGAGCGACGCCCCCTTCCTGCCGGCCAGCGGAGCGATCGCATCTAAATAGTGCGTAGTCAGATAGATGTACTTCACCATCCGTGATGTCCTGAGAAAGCCACGTTTCAGTGAATGCGAGTATATCGGGATGACAGACATCTACAAGCAGACCTAACTCGTCCACCTTATTCCTTAGGCTGCGTACATTACTTACCACTATCTGAAGGTATTCGTTAGGTCCAGACCTGGGTTGTGCGCTATCAGAATTGGCAGTGGTAGGGCGGAAAAGGACCGCCGGCTGACCACCCGAAAACCCACTAACCGGAGACCTTGTTCACCGGCCGCTCGCCTGCTTTTGAGGTCCTTGATGGCCTGCCTTAGCTTCAGCCTATCGGCCAGCGGAAGATCCGGCTGGATGATAATCTTTGTACCTTTCAGCTTAAACGTAAATCGCATGAGAGCGCTGCGTTCCTCCGGGGTAGAGAGTACCACACGAAGTAGCCGCGGTCGAGGGTTTGGTACATTAACTGGGACGTTCCCCAGTCTAATCAGCTTCCTGACAGTAACGCATGGAAAACCAGGCGGGAGAAGCTTCGTCACGCACATTTTAAACCATTGAAGGTCAGGTCAGGTCAGGTCAGATGGACGATAGAGGCTTCCGCCTAACGAGCGTCCAGTTCTTGTGCCGGTAAGTGAATCGGCCCCCAGCACTTCGACGTTGGATTGTTTCTTACTTCTGCAATGGAATGATACAAGAACAAGAGCAGTCTCTGCACTTTCATATGCCAGCATCAAGATAAACTATATATACCAGTACAACTACAATAGCTCTGGAAAAAGGATGGACCAACAGTTGTCTAAGCCCCTTTTGAAGGCTGCTACGGTCTCAGACTCCACTAAATCAGAAGGAAGTTTATTCCAGTACTTAACTACTCGGTTCGCAAAAAACTTTGCCCTGATGTCCTGATGAAGGTCGTCCAACATGCGAGCAGCAGTAGATTCAGCCGCGTTACGGAATATAACGCTACTATCCGTGAAAGAATCGCCACGACGCGGTGTATTAACCCCACGGGTCTTTGATTCGATACTTGGAGCAAGTGGCTTCACCACTGGTGATGGGACTGTCTTTAGCCCCTCCGATGATGTAGCAACGGCAGCGTGTTTTTCGCTGCACTGTCGATGTCCTACATCTTCAGGCCATCGATTCCACCGAAAGGCTTTATGGCAGATTTGGTTTGCTTTTTCTTCTTGCTAACGGGAGTAGGGTCCCGTGGCGCTTTTTCGCTTTGAGCAGAGTCAAGCAAACCTTCAGAACATGCCTTCTCGGTGAGAACCATGATATCCGGCAACTTCGGCTGACAAGTAGTGCGTGTTGGAATCCTCGCCTTCGCACAACCGTCAAACGGTCTGACAAGTAACAACACTTGGCTTGTTTCCGGTGCCGAGACAACTATAACTTCTTGTTTAGCAGAGCTTACGTGGTATCCTGGCTCTTTCGCTTTACTCGAAGGGACCCTTGAACCAGCAATTCGGCGTCGATCAGGGAAGCTTTAGATAGGACG